GAGCTGTGCTGCAGCTACAGGCGAGCTAAAGGCAATTAAAAAGCTTTGGCTGCCTTGTGTCAAACCTTCAGCTTGTACTCATGCACTTTAATCAGAAAAGCAGCAATTACATAAACAGTGCCACTAAATTAGGGGCGAGCAGAGAGTGCAGTGAGCATAGGTCAAATCCTGCATGTGTCTTGAGAAGAAAATAGCAACTGATCCTTATTAGCATGTGAGTGCATTCATTCTGCATCCAAAGAAAATATACATACAAAGAACTGGCTCTTGCAATGAAATGTAGATGTTAAAACAACAGCTTCCAGCCAGTTCAGGCTATTTTGCTTCAAGGATATACGGATCTGCTTTTGAGTTTGTGAGGGTTTAGTTATGTCAAAAGTTACAGATTCTTCTTGGAGGCCTCTCAGTCTATGTACAAATGTGACAGGCTACTTAGAGCATGAAAAGAAAGATATCTGAGCCCCAACATTAGGCACAAGCTATTCTGGGAGAAAAAAGTAATCAAAATTTCACACCACTCATCTTAATCCAGCACTTGCTAAAATTTTAAAAACCTCTGCTTGTAAAACCAGCAGCTTGTAGTTTCTTGTTAAGCTACTTTTAAGCAAAGAGAAAAAAAATCCACAAAGTGAGAGCAATGAATCAGGAAAACATCTTCACTGCAATTAAGTAGAACATCCCTCTTTGATAGGACAATCAACTTTGTGCAGTAACTGCAAAGAGAAGGACATTTATAGCAGCATCAGGATGTGCTGTGTTCCCGGCTACTTGAGAAATTGTAATGAGAATTCTGTGATTTCCTAGTCCCATTCCTTGTGCCATAAAAAGCTCACACACAGCATTCAGGCACAACCAGCTAATGCCAGCCAGAAGCCCTCCTTCTCTCTCCAGACTTTAATATACAACCCCTGGAGCCCAAGGAACCAAAATGCCAGGTTAGTCTGAACTGCAGCTTGGGCTGGTGGAGGAGCTGGTGGTCAGGAGAATCTTCTCTTGATTTTGAATTCCTGTGTTGACACTGCAGCCAAATGGCATAGAAGAGTTAAAGCTGGGGCAGCAAACACTTACTGTGCCCTCTTTAACCATAAAACCATCAGTGTGGGATTTGTGCATGGATGTTTCTGAAAGGATGAATCAGGAATAACATTTGCAGTGTAGTAAAGCTGCTGCCCTGCAGTGAAGAGCTATTCTGCAAAAAAATAAATAAAAAAAAACCCCCAGCAACAAAGCCACAATGCTTTATAGATTAATTTATGATCTACCCTTGCTTCAAACAAGTCTAGAACTAGAGGAAAGAGCTCATTAGAGTCCACACTTACGGGAATTACTTGTCACGCTTTAATTACGCAACTCTTCCCCAACATTTATGCCTCCTTCTTCAGTATTGCTGTGCCTCTTCCTTCAAAAGATGCAAATAATTCTTGGATCTGCTGTTCCCTGCCCCTCAGAGGTAAATTTATAACATAAGATCCAGACTTGCTTTAAAAAGCTGGGGAGGGAAAACTCCTCCGTGCAAAGCGCTGCACCTCACCTTGGATTGTGTCTCTTCTGTTACCAAATACCTCTGCATCAAACAGATGGAGACCATGCAGCAGATCTTGAGGGGCAACATAAAGAGCAGATATCCTACACATTCATTTCAATTTTAGCTCTGCACTGGAAGTCCAAATTATTTTACATGGTGACACTTTCCTTAGCAGGTCAGTAGTTACATCCCTCAGCACCTGGCTATCCCTTTCTACCTCATAAAACAAAAAATGTTCAGAGGAGTGTTAATTTCTGTCCTTGAGGTTTGCCAGAAGCTTTCTGGTGCAATTTAAGGTATAAAGTCCCACGTGGCAGGCCAGGGGGTTCTGCTGCCATCACTAACATGTCCCAGAGCCTGGTTTCACCCCACAGCTCTGTCAATCTCCCAGGGCATGGACAGGAGCATTCCTAGGACAAGGCTATCACTTCATTGGGAAGTGCATCCTCTTTCCAGATGTAAGAAGTGGTGACTGGCACATCAGGAACCCTGGGGACAGGTTTCCTTCTGCCTACCTCCCTGCCCCCAGGAGCAGGCAGGGTGACTCATCCTGCCTCCACATCTTTGAAGGTTTCAGTCAGTATGTTATTCCCCTACTGCCACACACATTTTCACAATAGGAAAGCTCCCTGGTCTGTGATACAGCACTAAATTGCAAACCCTAAGCTGCTCTATTTGCACAGCTGAAGACACGTTGTGGAAATCACATCTTTAAGCCAAAACCACAACACATTTGCTGTCATGATGGTAGAGCAGTTTTTTAAAGTTAGTTATAACACAACAAGTCAGTCATCAGCAACAGCAGCCTGACAAAATACTGCAATTTACAGCTCTGCTAGTTCAGGGGAACTATTATTTTTGTACAGATTGACTGATGTTTTCTGAATTGTGCTAGAATATGAGGTTTTCTTTCCATAAGCAGCATGGGATGTGGATAGGAGAAAGAAGGGTTTCTTTTAAGCAACAGAAATGCTGGTATTTTGTAAGTCTACTAAATCAAAAGTTACACACATGATCTTTTAATTATTGTATGTATGTGTGTATTAACTCTGAGCTGGTGTAAGGGCAGGCTGCAGTTCTTCAGCCATTTAGCAGCAGATGGTTGCCAAGTTCACTTGGTTACATGACATCATGTTGCTTCATCACATAAACTCTCATGTTTGTATTTCCATTTTTAAGTGGACTACAATATAGAGCACAGAGATGGAAAAGAGCTTCCTACCTTCTGTTTAAAGAATGGATGTGTATGCAGTGCACAAGAGTGCTGAAACCAGAGGAGATGGATGCAGGCAGAGGTTTCCTGGCTTGTAATTTATTGATACATGTGATAGGGCCGAGCATTAAAATCCTCCTTCACGAGCACATTTCACTTCCAAGTCTAGTCCAGCTCATAGAAAAATTTAGGTAAGTCTAGCTCCCCCTCCCTGCCCCCTCCAAGAAGGTACATCTAAAAGAAAAAACAACCTTCTAGCAAATGGAATCATGTCAGTATGGTCTTCCTAATAGGAGAGACAAGACTAAAAGCTTGACACAGATAAATCTCTCTGAAACCTGAAGGCATATTTACAATGGATGAGCCATCACACCAAGTTTCAGATCACTTCCTTTCCAGCAAAGTAACTCTACAGCCAAAGCAGTCCATCTTCCCTACCCGTGCTGCTGCTGCAGCAGCTACTTTACTTCTGGTAAATCAGGTTATCCAAGAGGAACAGGGATACCAATTCTGACAGATGAATACCAGCTGTTGTAAAGGACTTGATGCTGGCCATGCACCCAGACGCTGAAGGATAATATTTCCTAGGCATCTTTCAGGAACTGAATTGATATCAGTGCTACAGCACCACAAGGTTTACTGCAGTAAAAAAGGAGGATTTCTGAAACAGAGCACTCAAGTCTGAACTTCCAAAGAGGAAGGGTTTGGAGGGAAGTGATCTGAGTCACAAACCTGGTATATATGACAACCTGGGGAAAGGAAAGAAGAGACAGCCTGGCTCCTAGGTGGAAAATGTTTCATACACTGCAGGCAACATGCAGGGAGCAGGGGAAATCTCTCTTGGCACTGCCCCCAGCCTGAGCTGGCACTGCCCTCGAGTGGTCGTAGGTGCTCTTTCATGTCAGAGTAAGGTGAACTCACTGCCACCTCCTGTCTCTCCCCATCCTGCTGTTAAGATCTTGCAGCAGTGTTTGTTCCTCTCCACCGTGTGCCAGCAGCTGGTTGTTCCTGTTGAACTGTCTGTGTTGGAAAGCAAATTCCCATCAACACCAGGTACATCTTTCCTGCTCTTGCTTCTGTCAGCCCTCTGCTTTTCTTGCTTTTCAACTCGCTGCTTCATCTCCCCCCTCCTCCCAAATATCCCACAACAAGACTGCAGAGCAGATGAGACAGAGCTTTAATAATGTATGTGTTCCCTTGCTGTACTTACTGGATGCCCAAGAGCACTGTTTTAATGAGTCAGATCAGGCTTTCTCCTAATACCACTGTTTGAGGCCACAGCACAGTCAAACTGAACATATTTTTAAGGCTGTTTCTAAGAAGATGAGAGACGAGGCCCTCCAAAGAGACATGGATCCAGGGACTTGAAGGAAGACACTTTCCTCAGGCCAGTTTGACCCCAGACTTCACTCCTTCAGTGCAGAAGCCTCCCATCATCAGTGCACGTAGTTAGACAGTTCTTTGAAGAACTGTGGTATTTTCTTTGTGGATACTACTCAGAGGACATGGCAAGATCCATGTGCTATATAGCTTCCTATTCACAAGCTCTGTGCTAGTGCACTGGTTCTATTTACATCTCATTTCCCTAATGCTTAATATTTGTCTTCAGTTTTTATCCTTTCCTTTCCCCAGGTCCTGCCCCAAGCTGCACATTGCAAACTGGAAGGAGTAACTTCTCTCAGCTCTGTCCAAGCTTGGCACTTTTTTTGTATAAAAATCTAAATTATATACTGCAGCAAAATATTCCTCTAACAAAAATATTCTGGGGTTTAGAGAAAGGGTACAGGCAACTTAACAGTTTTCTTTTAAATTTCAGCTCCTGCAATCTCAAACATTACTTTGCTACCAGCACAGAGGTGCATATTATGTTAGTGCTGTGCATACCGGTCTTTATGAAGAAAAAAAAAATAAGAACAGCTCCCTTGGGACATGCCTGCTTATTTTTGGCTCATTAACTTTAATGGAGTCAATAGTACAGCTGTAGCAGGTTGGGAAGACAGGTAGAACAGGTGACCTTTTCTATTCTCTAGGTCATGTCTACCCTGTACTTATACCTTAAAGTCACATTTCTAACCCTCATTCTGTATTTTAGCCAGATTAGAGGAATCAATCCTGCCTGAAGGCTTGCTGTTCATTTCACTCTTACATAGATACACAGATGTCTTCACAAACCCCTTCCCACACACATACGAAACACTGTGCCCCATGTCTGAGACCTATTATAAGCATTAACCCTGGCACAGCTGAATATGGTGGAAGTACAAATGGTGCCTGGATCGATGGGTTTCTGCAGCTCCAGGAGTGCCAGGTCACTTCTGAGAGGAAACCCACCAAGACCACAGTGTGTGCACATGGCTTTCACAAGCAGAGGGTTGACATCATTCACATCTGGCAACAAGTATTTGCTTCCCCACCAGCTGTTCTGTCTGAGCACTGGGCAAGGAAGAAGGAAAGCAAATACTTATTTCAGTCTAAAAAACTCTATAGTTCAGACAACAGGAAGAGCCCACAGATCACCTGTAGCATCTGCTGCTGAACAACACTCACACTTCAGGACTTATAACCTTGCATCACGGGGACGCTTTTGGGAATCCAAGCTGAGGTCTCAGTGCTTTGGGTGCTGTGCTGACAGAGAACCTTGGCTTGTACCTCTGAAGTTTTGCTGCCGTTACGATTAACACAGGGAGTCCAGAGGCGAGTCAGCCCCTCACCTCCTCAGGCACCAGACCCCAGTGCAGATGGAGCTCACAGTGAATCTACAGCTCTTGATGAAGCATCTGAGACCTATGCCACCCTCATAGGTATCTACATAAATCAGAGATGAAGGTTCAACAGAAGGATGTGGTACCTCTGCCTCATGAGGCTAGGAAGTACCTAATACAGGCATCAGCACGTTTAGGGGGGCAGAGGACAAGCTCTCCCAGGACTGCATGCACACATTAATTACCAGGTACACATCCAAGTCCATACTCCATCTCTACTGCCACCATTGCTAGCAGCACGGGATGCTACACAGGAGGGTTTAAGCTGCTGGAGGGCAGCTCCACATGGCCTCAAACAGTAAACACGTGGGAAACAGCAAGCCCATCTCTCTTTTCCAGGACTGACAAGATGACAATAGTAATGGCCCTGTCTGGAGGCTACCAAGATGTGTACAGGCTGGCAACATGTCCTGGGTAAGCAGCTCTCCACACATTTTCCAGGAAAACATATTCTGCATGTGAAAATAATTTCCTGACCTTTTCAGCTGAAACAGTATTTATGAAGTGTTTCCACTACAGTAAGTCTTCATTTTACAAAATTAGTTTGCTACAGTGTTCCCAACCATCTCCAGTAACAGCAAATTAAACAGCACATAAACAACCTGTATCCCACCACCAGCAGCTTCCACTGATCACAAGAGATGTCAGCACAAGAAAGGAAGGGAACAAAACTGGAAGAGAAGAGTATTCACTTTGCTCAGAAACTAGTAAAACAGAAGATGAATCTAGAGGAAAAAAAGGTTTAACAGAAAACAAATCCATTTAAATCTTGTCAGTGGTCGAACTGGTACAGAGAAACCTGCTGAGGATTTTGAGGGCTGAGGTACAACACATCCCCCTATTTCCCGTCTTCTGGTGGATCACACTACGGGAACCAACCTTTTAATAATGGAATCCCTCTCTCCCTTCTGTGTGCCGCAGGAAAAGGCACAACCCTCTAATACGAGCAGCCAAGCTCTCAGGCAAAAGTTAGCACAGATGGCTTAAACTGTTTGTTTTTCTGGTTCCCGCTTACAGTGTCGGGTTCCAGGCAGTGGTTATTAATTAATCCGAGGTCACTTACATGCTGAGACCAATCGTTCCTCCCAATAAGCATCTGTTTTAAACAAAAGCAAGCCAATCCAAGAACTAGTTTAAATAATCAGTCATTCCTCAGGGATGTTCCTGTATTTGGTTCAGTGGCAGTGTGAACTGCAGAGATACAGGGACTACCACCTAGTGTGGAGTGCCTGGGGTGAGCACTGAATTAAGTCGCTGCAGTTTTGAATACATCAGAGCATGGAAGAGTATCTTGAAATGATCTCAGAAAGTAGCTTAAGGGAAAGCACATTCAGCAAACAGTGTGATAACAACAGCACTGCTTTGTGGCTGTCACAGTTTAACCCCAGCTGGCAGCTAAGCCCCACGCAGCCCCTCGCTCACTTCCCCACCAGCAGGATCAGGGAGAGAATTGAAAAAGTGAGAAAACTTGTGGGTTGAGATAAAGACAGTTTAATAGGTGAAGCAAATGCCATGCACACAAGCAAAGCAGAACAAGGAATTCATTCACCACTTCCCACTGGCAGGCAGGTGTTCTGCCATCCCCAGGAAAGCAGGGCTCCATAACAGGTAACAGTTACTTGGGAAGGCAACCACCACCACTCCAAACGTTCATCCCCAACACTTCCTCCTTCTTCCACCAGCTTTATATGCTGAGCATGATGCCATATGGGATGGGATATCCCTTTGGTCAGCTGTCCTGGCTGTGTCCCCTCATAACTCCTTGTGTACCCCCAGCTTCCTTACTGGCAGGGCAGAATGAGAAGCAGAAAAGGCCTTGAGTCTGTGTAAGCACTGCTTAGCAGTAATAAAGACATCTCTGTTACCCAACACCCTTCTCAGCACAAATCCAAAACACAGCCCCACACCAGCTACTTTCAAGAAAATTAACTCTACATTTTATTACATGATTTGGTGGAATAGTCTACATTGTTTCAAGGAATTCCCTAAATAAAACTGACTACCATCACACACTGGTTTAGTGGGGTGAAAGGAGAGCAGGGCTGACAGCATACTTTTTGGGGTGATGAGGGAAAGGAAACCAAGCTTGCTGGAAACATGAAAGTTGTAGAACCTTGATGAGGATTTTAAACTTCCACCCCTGTGGCTGAACATCTGGGAACATGCTTCAGACAGGCCTGGTCAACCTGGCTAAAGTTCATGTCTTCATACAAAGTGCAGAGATCTTAGATCCAACATATTTGAGATTTTTGGATTTAGGTAAGGTTTGGGACTTTTCTGGTGAGGTTTTATTTTGTTTGGTTTTGGGTTTGGTTTTTTTCCTTCAAGTATCCATGTATTTCTCCCAATACACATAGTAGCCCTGGTAGCAAGAATTGAAAGTGAATACGGTAAAATAGGGATGTGAAGAATTAAGAAAGTACATTTAGTACTGACATGGCTAATGTTGCTGGTGACCATTTCATACCCAAATGTTGACACTTACCCAAGACAGAGATTAACTCCCAAGCCATAAACATAGAATGTGCATAAAAAGAAGAGAGGGATTTTTTTTTTTTTTAAAAGGCTTTCTACCCCTTCCCTCTCAACAGGTTTATGGAAAGTTACAATCAGTCTTATTTTTGTCAGCAACCTCCATGTTTCAAGATTCCTGACCTAAAAGCAGAGTGCTATCTTAGCTGACGTACACAATTACAGAGAGATTACAGACTATTTTGGGGAGAGGAGTCTGAGCCAAGAGGAGTTTTTGGCCAGGGTGCAGGTGGATGGAAAAGCCACCTCCTCATTCACAGAGCTGGGGTTTGAAGTTCATCTTGGATATGTGCATGCTTGCACGAAAAAGCAAACATCTCTGGTGATGCTGCTGTAAGGCTGATGCATTTTAATAAGAGAAATTTAATTGCTGTGATTTACTTCTAGAATCCCAACACGCTTGCCCAAGCTGATGTGCTCATTCCACAGCAGTGAGGAGCACAGGTAGGACAGACGAAAGGGGCATGGGAGAAGGTTAGATGTGGCTCAAGCTGCTAAAAGACAAAACATTGTTTGCTTCCCACAAAACAGAAGAGTCAGACTGGACACATCTTTCCTGCTCCAAGTTTCTCTGATCTCAGGGATCAAAGTACTAATCTGCCTAATGGTGCCAGGGCAGTGCTGTTCACGGAGAAAACTGTCCACCCATGTCCCCAGCTCTGTCCCTGCCTGGGAAACAAGAAAGTGAGGGAGGTTTCCTTTGGTCTTTAAGCTTAGAGCCCAATTAACTGCCTAGGTCCCTGGGCATGTGGCAGAGCTGAAGTCTGGGGAGGTAAGCAGTGGTAACAGCAGCACCCGGCAGCATTACTGCCTGCTGGATGGAGAAGCAGAAGAGAGATTATAGAAGGAATAATGGGCAGACAACAGGGACAGGAGATTCTGGTTTTGTAGAGCAGAATGGAAAGGGGCAGATAGAGAGCAACAGCTAAGACAGGATCTCTTTTTTACAGGTTTTTAGCAGGAAATGAGCACAGTAATTAGATCACTACTTATGCATTCAGTCAACACTCAAGATCTCTAATAGATCTCTTACTAATAACCACCATTTCTCTTCAGAACAGATAGATGTATTTTTTTCATGTGACAGCCATATTTTGGGCTGTACTTTTCCACCCTCCCTACAAAATCATAATAGACTTACCAGATGATGTTTCCTGAGTAGAGGAAGTTGAGAGAAAGCCTTTCATGGCTGCTGAAGTCCTGGAAGGGAAGGTCGCTGTCGCTACTGAACCTCAAGATTTTATGGGATGGATGGAAGTGTCACCACTTCAGTTGCCTGCAAAATAGACCAGAATGGGTTGTGAGCCTTTTTCTCCTGAGGGCTGCAAGCCACAGTCTTTCAAAAGGCAGTGTCAGAAAAGATTTCACTTTCTAAAAGCTTCTTAACGCAAAATCCTGATGTCATTCAGCTTCGAGCTCATGCATTAGTCTACAAACATGGCCAGAAGATAACTTGCTATACTTGTAACCAGAATGGTGGCCTCCTTCAAACAGCCAAATAGTTAAAGACACTCACTGTAACCACTACAAATCTCTAGTGGCAAATGCCCACTGCCTGGACTACTCTGGTCAGAAGAAATCCCTGCCCTGACAGGCAACACCCCCCTCATTCTCTTTTGTGCAAGACACTGTAGACATATTCTGTGCAAGACAATGCTCACAGGGCTGCAGGACATCCATATCCTCTGGGGAATAAGCCACTTGGAGTGCCTCACATAACTGAGAGCTGGCCCTGAAGAACCTTGTGTCAATAAGTGCTCTTAACAGTTCAAATTTCCAGTTTCTCTTCCATGTACAGAAGCTTACACAGCTTCACTTCCCTGACAATGTCCTACATAATCAGGCCATTAGTTCCTCAGTGAGGTGGGTACCTTCCCTCACTGAGCAGGGCTGTAGGAAAAGCTTCCCTCCCCTTGGCCCCATCACTTTGACCTGCTGCCTTGTCTTTGGCACACAGCTGCAGACACACACAGCAACTTGTCATACTTCCAGTCAAAGTCTGGGAAAGAGCATCCTGCACAGACTCACATAGTTCCAAGGCACGGCCATGCCATGATTAGGACCTTGTATCCAACGAGTTTGATTGCAAAAGTGCTTATAGGAAGCAAAAGGTACCAGGCTAGCTGAAGTAACTCCAAGTATCAGAAATCCCTTCTGGAGCACGGAAATGTGCCATGTAAAAATCCCTTGTCTGTCAGCAGAAGAAACTTGGTTAAGTTCCTCCATTTCTCTCACCCCAGAATTAAGATGAGCTCTCTTTCACTGAGTAACTCTTTCGTTAGTCCAATTCCTTCACACACCACCAGTTGGCCATGACAATTAGACAGGTTTCTTTCAGTCCGGAAAGTCCAGGACTTCAAGGCGAATAATGGATTTTAATGGGGCTACAATTCTCCCGTGGCAGCTGCAGCACAAAGCAAAGAACAAAGTCACAGTGCTGGCATATTTAACAATTGGCTCTGATCTCCTAGGGATAGCGATCAAAATGGGAGCAAAGGCAAAAGGGATTGCAATGCCCATTAAAAAGAGAAAAGGAAAAAAAAAAATCAAAGGTGGGATACTGGTCCAAATCTATTTTGGTCATATGATTTATTACTTCTGAAGTTAACCTTTCAGATGCTTTAGAAGTCTGTGGTATTGCCTCCTGAATGGAAAGTTATCTCTTACCTTAACTCCACGATAAGGGAGGAAGAAAAGGCAATGGATGAAAGTGCCAAAAGATTTTTAGTGAAATAGTTTAGCATCCCCCTTTTTAGTCCCTCAGTTATGCCACATTCAGGCCTCTGACATGGTCAGAGCTTTGCCCAGAGGTGTCAGGTTTACCTGCTATTTGCTGCAAACAAAATACTTGCACCCACCAGCTTTCCCCACTCTCTTTGAGGAACTTGCCCAGTTTTCTAACATGAGCTGAAGCACCCATGGATTCATTAAAAAACACGTCACAGGTGTTTGCAGATTTCATGGGAGTTACACAGTCCAGAAGAACTCAGGTGCTCACCTGGTGGCATTTGTGTATCTCATGTGGTATCCCAGTGACTGAATCATTCCATCCCAATCGGTAAGAGTGACATCTGTGCCTTGTGACAACTCTGAGATCATCTGCTTGGGCATTTTTGAAGCACTGACAGTTTTTTGTCCTGGAAAGAATAAGAATGTAGAGCATTAAAGTCAGCTTTAACATCAAGTTTTAAAAGGACTTGCACCAGCAACCAGAACAATTCCTACGTGACCCTCATGGAAAACCATGAATCATGGTTGAGAAACAATCTGAAGAGTAAAACCTTGAAATACTCCTTTTAAAAGTTCATCTGGAAAAAACAGATATGTTCAATTAGAGGTCAAACCAATTACAAAAACGACTACATTCCCATTCTACCAGGCCAGACCCTGTTCACTATAATCCTACAAAACCTGTTTCAAGCCTCAACACTGTGCATATCAGACAGTTTTATACAGGCTAGAGCTTCAGAGAGCTCTGTTTTTTCATACATTTGGAGAACATCTGTCTGTAAAGTCTCCAGAAAGCCCATAAAGGCATCTTGAAAACAAGTATGTTCCTGAAGCTCCAGTCAAACAGGTCAGTTCATCTTTAGAGAGAAGTGTTTGTACAGCTTGACTGTACCTTGAACCCTGAGCATCAAGCATTCAAAGCTGAAGGAAACAGGGCCCATGGAGCAGTGCACAATCTTCATCACAGGTTTAGGAACTGGGAGAACCACAGGAGGCTGCACAGTACTGAACAGCACAGACAGAAGCAAATCCAAGCACAACTTCCCTGTAAAAACACCGCTTGAGATGCGTAGGCCAAAGCCATACAAGTTACTCTGTGGAAAGGTGGAAAAGCAAAGAACTATTCACATTCCAAAGATGTTCAGCTCCAGTAACATGGCAGTCACCTCTTGATGAGGCAGCACCTCCAGTCCCTGTCCTGCACTAGTGACTTACTGCTGGCCAGCAAGAGTTTGTTCAGTTCACTGCACAGGATCAGCTGCCTCAAGTCTACCTACAAGTCTAGGCATTTTGTTTTCTTTATCTGTCCTGAAAAATTGCTCAACTACGTACGGGTTTGTTCTTAGGCTTACATTGAAAATTGGATGAGACAGGGAATTTTTGCCAATACTCCATCTCCACTGATAGGTACTTTCCGTTGTTAAGCACACTAAATTGTTTTCTGGTTACTTACTGGCTCTCTGAATTTTCCAGCCTCTTTCTCCCCTATCACAACAGCATCCTAAAGTTCCAGCTCATGCTTACATTAAAGCCTAATTCTATGTTTTAGTTCCTTGGTAAAAATAATTTAGTTTAGAGACAGGCACCCACAAACTTCTGTTATTCACCAACTCTAGAGAAGGAGGATGGGAGGGGGGAAAGCAAACAGGCTGTTTCAATATGTTGGCATATAAACAGTCATAGGAATCTAGTTTAATATACCCAGTCTTGAAAAACTGCCAGCCATAACAAACGCTATTACATAGCAGTGAGCCTGTGCGCTGGAGGACGCTCCAGGGAGCTATCTGTGAGACTCCTGTTCTGGGAAAAGTTTGATTGATGGCCCCATTTCTGATAGCATTTTCCTCTGTCCTCCATGTAAATAGTTATGATAGCTAAACTGCTATTCTCAGCTGTAATAGACACACTTTTAGATTTTTTTTTTTGTCTGCTTTTATAAATTAGTTCTTGGAAGAAGATAGCTGTGGAGTGCTCCAAGAGCTCCTTAGCATATCCTCTATCTTTCTCCTCTTCTGTGCTTTCACTCCCAACTCAGAGTTAACTGACATGCTCAGCTGTAGATTTGGTGGGTTTTGGTTTTGTTCCTTAATGAAAAAAAACATTCCTAGCATGTTCCATTATGCTAACAGTCTTCACTTGGAAGCATTACTACTGTATTTGGTAACAAAAGAGTGTTCTTGTTTGAGTGTCATGGAAGAACATCTTATTTTCCCTTTAGCCTTCATCTACACCCAGGCAGAAGTCAAACAGAGCCTCTTCTCTTGAGCATTAGCCATCACCACTAGTGTGATGTCAAGAGGATGAAGGACTACACAGAAGAGCTATTATCTAAAAACTTCCTCCAAAGGCATCACTTAATTTTGAAAATATTTGGGGAACATGTACACTGAAACTCATCCACAGGACTTCCAAAGGCTTACAGTGTTTTTCCCCACCACACCGTCTACCAGTAAATCAGTGTGGGTATCTACCAAGAAGAAGTTCTTCTTGGTATAACATCTGCAACCGCAAAAAATTAAACCTATGCAGAGACAGAATAAACTAATAGAAGGCAAAAAACTGCAGTGAAATGCTGGGAGAAGATGCTGGGAGAAGGAATAGAGATCCTTCAGCATACTTAATGAAACCTCTGCAAGTTCTAGCTTCTGGAGTTTTCTCCCACTCGTTTCCTACTACTTTCCCCTTCCCCATTTACATTTTGTGCCAACAATTTCCAGTTAATTCCTTTTGCTTCCAGGTTGCTGCCTGATACAGCACTTTCTCCACTTCCTCCTTTTCCCCTACTCTGTGTGTAGACTCTTTAAAACAGGAAACAAAAAGCGTTTCCTCCGTGCACTCTGAAATGGAATTTCCACGATGTGCTCCATCTCCCTGCCACGCTGCACTGCCAGCGAGGTTTTACTTCTCTGCACAGCATGCTGTGCACATGTAGACAGAGGGGCCTCCAAAAACTTAAACTTCCAAGTAAACAATGTTAAATTTCTCCCTTTCTTTTTGATTTAGCTTACTTTATATTCTGTGGATTTTGTTTGTCTAGACTGCTAGATGCTTGATGGGATTGCACCTCAGCAGAGTCATGGTTAGGAAGACTATACCTTCTACATAGAAGTTAATGCATTTTTCGGAATGAAGAGCCACATCTTTTTTCCCAGCCCCTGCTGCCTCAGTGACATTCATTCCAACTCCAAGAGGCAGATCATATGTACCATCACTGCATCTCACATCGTTGTCTCACAGGGTGTGGAGGAAGGGGGCTTGGCTTTGAAAACTAAGCTGACAGTGCAGGAAGTTACCAGTCACTTATATAGACAAGTGTCCCTGAGGGTTTGCTCAAACATCACAGTTTATATCTATGTAGTCCCTTTTACTGTTCTCTAGGGTACTAAGAGGGCTGTTCTCTTACTGGATCAGGGCAGCACACTGACACACTGACACAGGGATTAAGGTCTTCAGCCAACCTTACAGCCTGGGCTCTGAAGCTTAATTTAAGGCTGCCAACACGTCCGGGGCTCTTTGAAACTGGCCCAAGCGCAAGTGTGAAATTTCTAGGACTGAGTGTCCTCAGCTGGATCATTTGTTGTTACCTTGCACTTTTCTTCCTCTCTGATTCTCTTCATAAATCCCAAGAAACTCCTCTTGGCGGTTCAGTGATGATGTTATTGACAGATTATAGTAATATAATCTTTGCCATGCCCTTCAGAGACAGTCAGAGTATCCAAGAGCACTTTGGGCTTCCCACATAACATGATGAAGAAGGAGCAGATATAAATCCCCAGGGCTCTTCTAACTCCACTTCTGATGCACATTCTGTGGATAAATGTGCACTTCAGTGATAAAAGCATTAAGACAAGACAGTAAGAGCTTTCCACAAAACTTGGCAGTCCTGCCTGGGACTGAAGAGAGTCTAGCAGGTCAATAAAGTTAGTGGGAAATGGTTTCCCAATATTTAGTTTTCTAGTTTTTTTAAAACCTCTGCCTCCCCTGCCCCAGTATTACCAGACTTTCTCGAAGTCTGAAGATCCTGATATCACTAGCAAGGGCACAGCTACTGGAGTCATTGAAAAAGCCAAAGTGATAAAAAGCTCAGCCTGCATGGGGCATCTCTCTATCTATATATATAAATATTTAAAACCCATTCCTATCAGTTGGATCATTTCTTAGGGTCCAGCATTCGAGCTGGTACAAGCCTGCAGGAGCTCTCAAAGTGTACGTGATCACAAGGCAGCCCTCTTGCCTTAACCTGGAGGCAGAGACACAGGCTGGGCAGCACAGGAGTGAGCTGCCAGGCCTCAGGGGAAAGCAGACTTGCTTGCAAATTTGCTTTGAGCTGTGCTTTGAATCGATGCCTGGAAAAGAGATAAACAGATACCAAGTTGGTTACATAGCTGGGCTAACAGACCTACCAACCTCAAATACTCACTCACTATTGAGGAAGAAATGCAATTATTTTTTTTAATTGACCTTGTGATCAGATCTTGACAAGAGTTATGAAATATTATGCTTTGGTCTATGAACTCCCTGGTTCTCCACTAACACAGGAGGAGAGCAGGCCTAGCCTGGAGCTGCATGCACACACAGTGCAGTCAGATTCAGCACTCGTTAAATAAGAGACCAGACCAACAGGGAAATATTTGGAAGCATCCGAGTGGTTATAAAAGAGCAGGAGGAGGGGAACAAGATCTCTAATGAGAACTGCATGTCCCTTTAGTACCAAGCATAATAGAGTTGTTTGTCTCCCAAGGCAGCAATTTTTAAAGTCATACCCTCTGTAGAGCAGCTTAAATTCTGTTTAAGTGTGCTTCCTCCCACACCAACGCTTTATGGGCTTCCTGCTCAGATGGGATGCTGACACCACGCCGTGTCTCTGCGTACCTGCACGGGATACTGAGAGCACAGAGGGGAGGAGCTGAGCCCTCCTGCTGAGCAGAAATCCTTCAGATCCAAAAGGGAGATGAAGAATATTTGCCTCCTGAGGAAGGTGCTGTGGTGTGAACAGCTTTACATAGCAGTGCTTGTGAGAGGGCACATGTAGGGAAGAGAGACTTGCCTTAACTCTCGGTGAGAGAGAGCACAAGGAAGGTACCCTTCCTCCAGGAGAGCTGGCTTTAAACAAATCCAAACCTCTTCCACCACAGTCTAGGTTAAAAGCAATGAGTTAATCACACAGCTTTGCACAAGGGCTCCAGCACTGTTGAAGGATGAGGGCCCTGTGCTGGCATCAGGGGAGAGCAGGGAATGCCAGTGCAGTCTGGATGCTGCATCCGGGAACAGGGTAAAGTCCAACAGGCTGAGACACAAGGGCTTGTCCCTAGGTACATTTTCAAAGTTGTTTTTGCATTCAGGTTGACACGAAATTCAGGTAAACAACCAATTCAGGTCGACGCCCAATTCAGGTCATTGCAGCACGGTGTGCTTGCCATGGCTTTGAGCTCACCCAGGGATGAGCAGTTCAGCTGAGCCAAGCCTGCTGCAGGGCAGGCAAGAGCCTTATCCACATCTCCAGCCTGTCCTAGCCAGCCCTGGAGCTGCTGTGCTAATGATACCCCCACAGCTGCTGGCTATGCTGCACTTCCCCATGGAGAGAACCATCCCCACCTCCTGTTGCTCGCCACTTCAGGGGACCTATTTTTATCTCAGTGGTGTGATGTTGTGGAGCACCAGCAAGGATGCCAGTGGGAAGAAGAGGAAAGCACACTCTGCATGCCAGCAGCCTGGCTACTGCACAAGTCTGTGAGCAGCACTGGTAGCACGTGCCCTCCTGAACAGATTGTTTTTTAAATTTGTGAGCAACTGCATTCTCCAATTTGTCGCCAAAGCCAGTGTCACCCAGTAACTCGGGCTACTTTAGCTTTTTCATCATTCTTCCTCCAACGCAGTGTTGGATGTGGAGAAACATTTAAATGCTTACTAGCCAGGAGGAGCCACATTAGTAGGACAGGGCTGTTTGTTGTGCCTCAGGAGCAGCAGCAAGCTGACAGTGTCTCACCCCAAGACCACAGCTCTGTTTAGGCAAAGTACATGCATAAGAAATTAAGTAGTTCTCTCTGCCCTGAGAAATTCAGTCCAAAACATGGAAGATGAAAAAGCGGTACCTTATTCCATGTACAGGAATGGTAAAGGAAGAGAGAGAGCAGATTAAGCAACGTATCCAAGCACATAGGAATTCTGCAGTATCAGTGGTAATGGATCCTTGCTCTACTGTGGAAGCCCACTGCTTCTAGCTACAAGAGGGTCTTCTTTCCCTTGTCTCTGCTCACCAGCCTCCCTCCTTCCCCTCTCCTGGTGTACACACACACACTCTCTCTTCCCAGGACAAAATCCAGAGAGTAGTATCCACTTGCCCAGAGATGTTAGGAAACTCAGATTAGTTAGCAGTCACTACCCAGAGCTGATCCTGAACTGAACCAGCTCCATTGCCTTCTGGAAACCAAGCAGTGCCTCCCGTGGCACACGGGAGCTCCACAGAGCTCTGCAGTGCCCCTGCCTGCACACCTCTCCCATTAGCTTTGAGAGCTCCTGTGCCGAGGTCTCTGGTGCACTGCCACTTCCCTGCAGCACGCTCTGCTCAGCATCTGAGGAGAGGCACAGCGTGCTTAGAGGCAGCTTAACACAGAACAGTCAGCATGGCCAAGCACTTCCCACAATAGGAAGACAATCACATGAAGGTCAGATAAAGGAGGCAAGTACCAGTATACTGATCCTGTGAGTCAGTATCTGGCTCAAAGAGCCCTCAGGGCTTTGAACCTTTTGCATAGAAGTGTATGTGAGAGCTGCATGCAATGCTACAGGCTCCACCTCTGAGAAAGATTTATACTGCAGAGCTGAGCAATTCCCTGCATCCACTGCCTGGCCATGAAAGCAGTTACTGCCTTCAGAGTCGGTGGTCAGCAGCCAGCTGTGTCAGATCCAGGGGTATGGAAGATGTTCAGCCAACTCCCAGCTTGTCTGTGGGGATGCTCTGGCTACCATACAACTGATGTCTTGTTTTGTCACCTGGTTTTAATTTAGAAGAAAGTTCTCCCTTAGTCACACCTGTAGTAGCATTTCTGTTCAATCAGTGTGGGACTATGAAGGATGCCACAAGGGAGAAAGACTGGCAGCTGCAGCACAAAACAGGAGAGTCCAAGTGCCTGAGAGTAGAGCATATCCACAACATGCCCTTTTCTTTAATATATACTTTAATTTCCTGCTCGTAAGTGCAGCACACTTTATTCAGCACTCAGGGAAAGGAGATTAAATTTGTTCCTGTGAGCAGGAGTCTTCCATTTTCCACTGGCAGCAAAAGGATAAAATGTAGGATGGGCAGAAACACAAAAGGTCTGTCCAGGATTAGGTTTTTTCCTCTTAAGAAATGCTGTGGGACGATCACAGCTATTCACTAATACACTTGGCTGTATGTGTGCACATGCAGGGAAGGAGGAGCGGTGAAGCTCTGGGAATACAAAGGTTTTGCATCAGCAGTTTCCTAGTGCAACTACTTTGAGCCAAAGTAAAACATTTCTGTAGAATGACAAATCTATTTATTTAACATGGGAAAAAAAAGGACTCGAAGCTATCTGGTCTCTCTGAAATCTCTCAAATTCCATCAGATTAAACAAGATGAAGTGGTGGATTTCTCCACTTGCCAGTGAAACTATAAAGCCAAATTCACCTTGATCTGAGGAGGCTAAGCAGGAAAGAAACATCTGGGAAAGAAGGGGAGAGAGAGCTGGTGCAGGGAAGCACCAGTGGAGCTTCTTTGAATAGGTTTGCTCCCCTCATTTCTTTGCATGAGAGCCCCTCCAGTTTAAGAGCAGGGGCTTCTTCTTTTTGTAAGATGCCATCACTTTCATGCAATCAGTCCTTATTCACTAGCATATGCTACTCTTTCTCTGGCAAAATTTATCCTGCAGACTTCTGAATATGATGCTAATTATATCTAGATCCCTGGATGCACAAGTTCAGTTTACAGCATTTCCCAAACTATTCTGCCCATCAAAGCATGGAGCTGATAGGCATTTTCACAAGCAGCTGCTTTTTACTGATAAAGTATCTGTCCAAAGATTATGATCAATTTGAGAGTCAGAAGTGTCAAATACAAGTCTTACACTTCTGGAACTCCCTTTCTGATTTCCAATAAGCTTTATTTAGGAGGAAGGCATGAGGAAGAGGAGGAAGTAGAGACTTTCTGCAGGAAGTCACCTGGATTTTTTTCCTTCATCTTAAGTTGCCCTAAAAAGCCTATCAGTCAAAACCTCAATGCCCTTGGGATATGTTATACAAAGGCATGATATTCAGGACTCACTTCACTTAGACAAAGAAAACTCACCTTTCATCAGCAGCCCTATCCAGTCCAAGAAAATCCTCACCCTTGAATAGAACCCTAGTTTCTTTGGGCAGGCACAGCCAGCAGCCTATCTGACAGTGCTGTAAAGCATAATTGATCCATTTTCAATGTTGCAGACCAAGGGGCCACCAGAACTATCCTGGAAACCAAAAGAGAGAGGACTCACAGGGATCTCATTTGGCCACTGCACTGCTGCAGCTAAAAGAGAGCTGTTGGAATCAGATTTTCCCAGAAAAGCCCTCCTGCAGGAACTGGGAACACAGCCACTGGTGCGACTCAGCACCAGTCTGCAAAGAAGAGACCGATTTAAAGGCTTGCTTATCAGCATAGAGTGAAGACTGAGCACAGGCTGCAGACAAAATAGGACTAAATAGTGCTCTTTAGTGCTACACAGAATTTGTTCACCTGCCATAGGATTGCGGTATTGAGCAGAACTCACATTTCAGATTGACGATGCCTCAGTCAGAATTACTTTGCCTTCTATTTACTCAGCTGTCCTTACCTGCTTGCCATGTGATTTTGGAGAGATTAGTCAGTTTTTGAACAGTGCTCTGAATACAAGAGTTTTATAAAAATGATAAAAGTTGTAGTTTATCTTGACAAAAGGGTGCCATGAAAGAGTTCCAGGCAAGCGCCAATGGGAAATGTTTCAATGGGATCACAAGTGGGTCTTGGGAAGTGCACGGGAAGAACATCCTCTCCTCCACAGGTCTCACAGAAATTACAATTCAAAGAAAGCTTTCTAAACTCTGTGGTTCCACTTAAGCAACACTGCACTTTGCTTATATCTCCCATACAGATCGACTGCGTTGACTCTTGTAAGTACATCCACTCCAGGGACTGCATGACATTGGAGCTCTTGACTGTCACCTGCTGTTCTCCCTTCTGTCCTTCCTAGTCCCTTTCCATAAGTGATCCACAGACATACTTATGCAAACACTTTCAAGAGTGCTCACCTTTCATTTTGCTTCACCTGACAAGCGTCCTGGCCTCCCACGGAAACAAAGCCTGCACAAAGCATCCTTGTGGTGATCCCTCCAGGATAAGTAGTAATTTATCTCACAGATTTCATTCTGAAGTGCATGTATTCGTGTCTGCTGCAGCTCTAGCTTGGCTCCCACCTGGTTTGGAAACAAATATGAGGTTAGGTCTGGGCAAAAGAATAAAATACTTCTGATGGAAAGGTAAGTTCTGCTCATAATGGGCAAACATGCAAAATCAGAAGACCCACCTTCTTTGATGATCCCCATCCAGACACAGGATAGAGGGAAGAAAAGGATAATGTCTCTGTGCTATTGGGCAGGCACACTGGCCTCACAGCAGCACTGTACTCCAGAGAGATGATGAGCTGCATCAGGGCAGTGTTGGAGTCATAGCTCACCGTGCCAAAGTGGGGATACACCACGATGGGCTTCACCTGTCTCATCTGTGACTAGGGCAGAGAAGTGCATCCTGAAAGGGTATTTGTAAAGGAAGAGGGCAAAAATCCCACAAGTTATGACCAAGCTCAAAATAGGTCATGAAAAGAAGTAAAAAAGGTGCAAGGACTTTGAAAAACAGATTCCCTACCTTGCCACCAAGCTGTGAAGATTGCTGGGTTAGTTTATGTGGACCTCCTGAGGCTAGAGTGAAGGCTGACTACTTCACTGTGCAAATACAAGCCTCCAAGGTTTTACAGAAGACTAGTGTGAGTCACTTGAGCTTCTTTTCCATTTATCCCATTGGGAAGAAAGTGTCAGTAAGCTTTTTATAGACAGCTATATTGCTTGGCACCAAGGGAGGAAGATGCTGAGGACACTCAGTCGTCTATGTTAGATTTTAAGACTTTTTACTGCTGATAGTAAGAACTAGGTATAAAACATGCTTCCTTACACTGCAAGTTAGCTGAATAAGACCAGAGTTAATGGATTTCCTTTCTCATTCTTCAGCCTGGGCTGCATATCAGTCATTTTGCCTTGCTGTCAACGCTGTTTTATCTGTGCATATGCATGTGTTTTGAGAAATATTGCATGGTCAAATACACCAAAGTAAATATTTTTAATGGTATTACTTAGGGTTTACCTGTGGTATTGACCTTCTTAGGGCTCTTGCTGTCACAGTCCAGTGCAAGGGTTTATTGGATCTGTAGAATAAAAGCAAACATATTGGAACTACTTACAGTCAGTCATACAGCTTCCTAATTCAGCAGTCATACATCCCTTCTGACTCTTCTCTAATTAGTCACTTATTCCTAGGACTGCTGAGCAAGAGCTTCTCACCACGACAAGTGTGTTGCATCAGTTCTGGCTCTGATAGCAGATACTTCAATTAACTTTAATGGATCTCCTACGAGGAAGACCAAACTGTTCCCATCTCTAAAATCAGTGTTCATGGCGGAAGGGCAGAAGAAAGATTTTGTAGAGGACAAGAAGGTGCGAATATAATTTATAGCTGTGCACCCAGTCTGGAGGAGCAGGCCTGGGAACATGCAGGTCACAGCTCACAGCTACGCACAGTGGGCGGCTGTCAGCAGCCATGTAGGGTTGATGACAGCCCCATCGCACTGGGAGCGCCTCCAAGGAGCTTCAGGGAGGTGTGCCATGGCCAACAGCGAGGACAGGCCTCCTCAGCCCCATTAACATGCTTGAACAGCCACTGGGGAGTAACTGGGAAAAACCCACAAGTGTCTGCCAGAGCCAGAAAACTAACCATACCTCCACAGGCAAGTTTCTTATTTTCCTAGGTAACCTCATACTGTGGATATACAGCAAGGCCAAAGATGCAGGAGAGAGAAAATCTGTCTGCTCTATCTGGAAGCGGTGGGGGTAGGAAAAACAGATACACGAAAGCTGGAATCCTAAGGGGGTGAGCCCTTCAGGGAGCAAGTGAGGCTCAGGCACTGAACGCGCTTCTCTCCCGTTCTCTGCTTTGTCTCATCTCCCAGTAGGAAGTACATGCAACTGAAATGGAGTGGATATACCACAAGTATGGACTATGAGTGATGGAGCACCTACCTATCACTTTTCATCCATGAAAGTTCACAAAAGGGGGCTTGAGGTCAGAAAGCATCTACCTCGCTGCATAAGCCTCTTATACGTGAGAGGAGAGCTCCTCAGACTAGATCAACTGAGCAGAATTTAATTTCTTTACCTAAGGGGACATCCTTCAGAGGCAACATTGGTGTAGTTAATCCCAAATCTGTTCTTCCTGCCTTCTCTTCAAGAGAAGAAAGTAAGAGTTAGGTCTGACTTGGGCCGATAGCTCTGGCTTGTCCCCTCAGTCTCAACTCTGGAAAGGAAAAGTTATTCATCCCCCTCAAGCAGCAGCTGGCACACACCCATGAAAGTAGAAAGCAACAATAGCAGACTAGTACCCAGGATCAAGACTCTCCTCTATAATGAGATTTCAAGGGAAATATCAGACTGACAGAATTAACAAGACTGCTTATTTCAGGCAGCAAAAGTCAGTCATCTCATTTCTCAGTGAAAATAAAAAAGCACATTTGATTCATCTCCCTTATTCAGCAAAGGGAGCTCTGCTACAAGTAGCTATTCTTTTTTAAAGTTACCTCTACAGGATGCAGCAGGATTAGCCTAAAAAGTAAGCTCAGGTATCTAAGAATAGCTGCAGATGACATGGAAATTGTTAGACACAGCAAGCATCTCTCCACTAACCTGAATGAACAAAAGTGAGCTGGGCTCTAAACCCTCTGAAGCTGTTCTCCTCATCACTTCCAAAATGTACCAGCATGGTATTACCTGAACTCAACCCTGAGAATCCACAGAGATTAGCTGTGGGAATGAACAAGAATCTTACTTTTAGGATGAGAAATGTCATCTAGATTTCTAAACAAGCAAAACAAACCAAAACCATAAAGACTTGATGACTTTCTGATGAGAATGAGAACTTTTGATCTAAGACAAGGTGCCTGCAAAGCAATGATAATCAGTGATATCAGTAAGCAATAGCAAGCAATAGCAGCCAGAATTAATCTTCTATAGTTATGCTACATGGAGATGAAGGTAATCCTAATTTTCTCATAGTGGAATTACAAATAATCTTCAACAGACAGTTTGAATGCTCTCCATTGCACAAACCAAAACTCCAGATCAACACATCACACCTGAGAATTGTATCTGCCACCACTGAAGGCTGCAAGCAAAAAGTTTCTCTTGAATGGTCTGCATGTAGAGGTTGAGGACCTAGAGAGCAGCTTCTAGACTCTTCCTCCTACTGACAGCATTCAGTTTACACAGCAACTGGAAGGCCCATAATTGCAGCTGGATAGGAAGCTTGAACGTTGCTCCAGAAGAGTTTTCCTGTAAGAATCTGAATTTTTGATGGCAAAGCTGATCTGGAAAGCATCGAGTAGAACTCTCCAGGATGCTGAAAGCTCTGCCCTGAAAGATTCCATAACTAAATTTGTTGGCCTTCTTCCCCCCTTCCCCCCCAACTTAAATCCTCCTTTCCAATGGAAACCAGATTTCTTTTCATGAACTGCAGTGTTAATACTTATGCACCATTTGGTAAATACATGCAACTAAATTACCACCACAAAACAAATGGGGGAAAAATAGAAGCATTTGCCAAAGATCACTTTTCAATGACAAAGCCTGGACAACTCAAGCCTCTTACCCAGATTACTTGGTGCAAAGAAAAGAGTGCCAGTCCCTCTCTGTCTTTTGGTTTACATAGAAATCTGTAAAGAGGTAGCCAGAATTCAATTCAAATATCTTCCCTTTTGAGCACCAGATTGCTTTTCACTTTAAAAATAAACATCAAGCTCTGCAAAAGTGAGCATGGTGTCTGGAAGCTGGTTTTTTTTAAAAAAAAAAGATAGGCTGTTTCAACATGTTTTGTTCTTATCCAGGTAGAGAGAACATCTGGAAATACAGAAATTTAAAAAAAAAAAAAAAGGGAAAATTAAGAACATTTCTTTCACTAAGTTAAAGATTTTTATACTGATGAAACTGAAGCATATTTAAAGTGAGAAATTAAAAAAATATTTGCTTCTGAAAGTGTGTGAAAGACATGCCTCAGGTTAGCAATTTTTCATTAATGAATTTCCAACAGAATTAGTTCAATTTATTAAGAATTCACATCCATTTCAGTAGAATTAAACATGCACCAACAACTATTCTTTCACTCTGCCTTACTTTGAACATTTGTCTTTTTCAATGACACTCAGAGCCAAGTTGCTTTTGCTCTCTTTTTGGGAGGGGGATGCAGAGCAGAGGCTGGATTCAGCAGCACACACTGTCTCTGCAGCAGAACATGAACCATGGTCCTATATTCAGCCCTGCAACAGCAGCAAGACTTTGGACCAGGATGAAGGATCTCCTGTGCCAATGGCATGCTTGGCCATCGTGATGGGCAAGACAGATGGGCCTCAAAGCTACTGCAGAAGCCCTTCCAGAGGTACCAAGTACCATGTTATCAGAGAGAGTATATTTTGCTGATAAAACATGTCTGTTTCCACAGGATTTCTAAGTTAAGCCTGAAACAATTAGTGCTCACACAGCTGGTTTTCTTCATCACCATAAATAGTAACTGCATCATAAAATGCAGCCTGAGCTAAGTCCCATGGCAAAGTCTTCAAACTCCAGCTGCAAAGGGGACAAACAAGAGGGAATTGTCAAGATTGAAACAAACTTCTGAACCTTTGGAAAAAAGCTAGATTTTGGGAATTCTGGGAAGAATTTGGGCATGACTTCCTTTGGTGAGTGTGTCATGTGTTGCATCAAAACAATCTGTTGGCAGTCTTGGCCTGATTTCTCCTTCCTGTGCAGGGCTACCAACAGGTCTGCAGAGGATGAAGGTGGCCTAAGCTTTGCCTTAAGGCATTTCAGCTGTCATCTTACTGCAGCACTCAGTGCCTTGTACTTCTGAAAGGTCAGTGCCCCATATGGATTGCCCTTTCAAGAGTTTTTCCTTCAAGTATGGACAGTGGGTGATTTTTCGTTTGTTTGTTTTGTTTTTCATCCAGACTGCAGGTTCTTGCACCAACAGAGCAGCAGCAAAACAAGAAACAGGTCTGCCTATCCTCAGTCATCCCTAGGTTTAACACTGTGTCATGGTTCAACCATAGCTGGTGACTGAGCACCATGGTGTCCCTCGCTCACATCTCTATCCCTCCTCACTCCTGGTGGGAAGAGGAAGAGAATTGCAAAAAAAATAAAGATAAAACACGTAAACTTGAATTAAGAACAGTTTAACAGTTGAAATAAAATTTAGTAATAATAACAACAACAATATCAATAATAATTGCAATGAAAGGGGAGACAGCAAAAAGAGACTGAGAGGAATAAAACCCCAGACAGACAAGTGATGCACAATGCAATTGCTCACCACCCACTGACCGATGCCCAGCCTGTTTCCCAGCACTGATCAGCGGCTCCCAACCAACATCCCCAGTTTATACACCAGGATCAATATTCTATGGGATGGAATGTCCCTTTGGTCAGTTCAGATCAGTTGTCCTGGCCACACTCCCTGCCACCTTCCTGTGCGTCTCCTCACTGGCAGAGCATGTCCTTGATAGGGTAACAGCTAAGACATCAGTGTGTTATCAACACTATTCACATACTAAACCCAAAACACAGCATGAGCTGCTGGAAGAAAATTAATTCTATCCTAGACAAAACCAGGATAAAACCAGGACACACCTTTTTTCACCCCTTAGCCAAGGCAACAGGGGAGGAGAGATGTTTCTGCTTTAAACAATGTAAGTGGCAACAGGACTTCATCCTAAGCTTGGTGGGATGCTTGCTGCACACAAGATACAGCAGGCAATAAAAAATAAGAGAGATGCTGGTAGTAGGAGTGAGGACTGTTATCAAACAGCCCATGCACAATGAGAAGCAGACACTTTGGTATGAACTAAGGAGTAGCTTGTGGGGGAGGTTGACACTGCCTTGAGAAAAGGGCTGACTCTCTTGTTTGCAACATGCTCTCTGCCTTCCCTTTGTCCTCAGAGCTGTGCTGGACTTCAAGATAAAGCTATCCTGGGATGAGGCTGGTGCCTCCAGATTTCAAGCCCTTACAACAGTCACAGCCCCTTCACATAGGAGTTCGGAGGTGATGTCTAATTGACAAAATATGCCCTGCAAAGAATCAGCGACCTGGAAACTTTAGAATTTACAGTCTCGCGCGTCACAGATGTTTCTGGCAGGATTTTGTTGAATCGCTCCCCTGAACAGTTCTCAGTGCAGAGGTTTAAGAGCAGTTTCTCTTTTTATTACCTTTACGACATACTCTGCTGGACCTTCAATGAGCCAGTGGCACTTCATGTCCCTGGGATACAAGCCAGGCTAATTAGCAGTATCAATCTTCCCCTCTTCCACTAACACTGCGACACTGCCACAGCCAGAGCCTGCAGTACTCAGAGGGGAAAGGAGACAATTTAACACATGGGATTAGACAGTACTTTCAATAAACACAAATCAACAACTTGGTTTTTAAGGAAACCAGGCACACTAAGGGTAGTAGTTATTTTAAAGGGGTCAGAAAAGAGAGGAAAGGAGTTTCTACAGCATCAGCAAGATCACTTGCTTCAGAGTCCTTATGGATGGCCATGAAGGTGAGCCCACAGCCACAGCCAACATTACTCCCACCAGGAAAAAATATAACTGTGGTCTGGTCTGACTCTGCCAGCAGAGGGGCTGGGAAGACATCCCTGCAGGATTTACCTCAAGAAGACAAGGAGCTGTAAGGGTGGGCTGAACATATATTTATTCAGGCAGATCTCAGAGGGGTTCACTAGGCTAGATCCCATCAGGAAGGTCTCGTCTCAGACCAAGTGGAGGGACTATTTGATTTTCATTACCTCTAAAATATTTAGAGGCAGTACAAAGAAACTGAGGCAATTGGACTTCATCCAAAACAACCACATGAACAACCAAATATTCCCAGTGGATGAACTGCATGACTGAGGATCAACATTATTACCTACACATCACCATTACTAAGTTAAACTGCAGAGGCAGTGAGTATTTGCAGGAAACATTTATTATCGTTTCAGAGGGACAGTGGGCCACATTTCTTTGTCTCATCTGCATGATTACCCAGTTACCTGCGTGCTCGTTATACCACATAACATAATTTTGAGCCAAGAGCCAGCCTGTGAGTTGTGTCTTCAACACATTACTGGCCACGCTAACACATCAGAAGCCCACCTGGACTCACACCAGCTAAGCAAGGCTAAGCACGCAGTTTCTTTTGCTACCCAGGGTCTGAAGGAGCAAAACAGGAATACTGGAGACAAGGCAGGGGAGGCACAGAATTACACCTTGAAACACATTATCGAGACACCCACCACACTGCACTGGTTGCCAGCACAAATGTGGACATGATCCTCAGTCCTACCTGCCCTGCTCTGTTTGGGTGTTTTCTCTAGCTCTTTAGATTCATAGTGGAAAATACAGATTGCTTTCAAAGGCCAGCTGGATTTGCTGCTCTTCATGACAGTGAATGACAAGAAATTATACCCAATAACCCTCACACCTCCAAGGCTCCCAGACTGGGATCAGCTCTCTTTCATTCAAATAGAGAGACACATAGTCAGGGTCACATCCAAGTTGGTATCTACATCTAATTTAGTGAAGCACATCAAGATAATTTTGTGCTATAGTACTATTATATTCCAGGTGCACAGGCTAGAAGCAAGCAATACTAAAGGCATGTTTCTGCATGGCTGAGCTTTGCCCTTGTCAGTCCCACCAGAAGCTGAAAACCGGTGTCACCAGCTCCACCTGTTAAATTTTATGATCTTCCCTCTCAGCATAAGCCATCTGGGGGGAAAGAGTTACCAATAGCAGAGGACTGCCATGAATTTGATCAGCACCAGGTGGGGGTTGATGCTTCCTTACAGCAGCAATAGTTTTGTGCCATGTGACTGACGCACCACCAGCCCAGTCCATCTTGTTCCCCTGCCTGCTGCAGGACCTGAAAACTTCTTTGTGTGAGCTGAGGTTGATATGGCCAAACCAAAGGATAAAGGGCACAGCAGATCTCTAGCCAGTCACAGCCTTTTTGTGTGAGTGGCTTGTACAGAATCTGTATTACAAATAGACCTTTTGTCTTGCTACCTTCCCCTGCAGCATGATCCTGCCCAGCAAGCATAGCTGGGGATTTGCCTTGCAGGGAACACACAGCTGCTGTTATCCAGACACTACTGAGAGTGGTGCCCAGCCTGGTGGTGGCTGGGGCTTCTAAGCCCTGGGAAACACTTTGGTGGGTGCCATGAGGAAAATTCAGTGTTTGGCTATCACAGCCAAACTCCATTTACCTGTTGTGAGGGACATTATCCTCCAAAGCCTGAGGGTACAGAATGAGGCAACTTTCTCCAAAGAGCAGGATGCCTTGGGAACTGCACTCCACTGGTGCAGGGAAAGGGCTTGGCACAGCAGCTAGAGAGAGAAAAGGGTTATTGCAATACAGGCACAGCTGATCAAGCCACAGGCTATGGTACTGCAGTTGTTTCAAACACAAAGTGCTTGACATGCAGCTGAGAGATGCCTCAGATGAGAACACACAATTTCCATCCCAAAGACCTACTTTAAAATCCCCAGACTTCCACTTGTCCCACTGACACCTTGGGCTCACATTTGTCCAGCCTGCTAAGAGCTGACTTGTCTACTCCACACTCATTTGTAATGAAACACCACTTTTATGACGTCCTCCCCTTCATCTCCTATGGGCATTTAGTCTGTGTGAATCCCGAATTCACAGAGCTCTGCTTTGCAAGGGGTAATGCACCCACTTTGTAGCCACGTGGCTTCTGCTCCTTGCAGTTGCTGCACCCAATTAAGAGGCACCTTGTCTGTAGACAGTCCCCCTTTGAAAGCACAATCATTAAGGATCCCTAGCAAAGCCATAATAGGTTGAATAGGTTGGGTATTGGTTAGTACCAACACCTCAACTTTGATGGCTATGATAGAAATAACACCATCTCTTTAATAACTTGTATTAGCCCCATAATTATCTGCACAGAAAAATACAAGTGGCCAGTGGGGAGTCACTAGACCTGTGCCTAGCTATAAAAGGCAGTTCCAATAAGCCAAGAAAACTGCGGCACTTAATTCCATGCCCCTCTTCCCTTTCATGTTCAAAGTTGTATTTGATGAGGAGATAACCCCTGATCAATCCTGCACGCAGTTTCGGGAGCACAACAGCAGTTCAGATTTCAAGCTGGCAAGCATTCAAAGCAGACTTTTAATAGAGCAGGGCTGGTATGCAGCACTCAAGGGACACCTCACTGAGCTGGAAGGGCTGCATTCAGCCAGAAAAAGGGCAGCTTGAGTAGCCTTCTGCTTCTCCTTCAGGGGATGCAGGGGTCAGACTTGCTATTATAACATGGTTTCTGAAGGGGGACTTATATGTTTAAACCTTTTGTTTTGCCATCCCAAATTAAAAGATAATACACCTTGCTGCTGATGCAGTGCCTGGAAACTGAACAGAAGTGTTGTGGGTGGAGAGGAGGGAGGCAGCAAGAGGAGGGCAATTTGGATTCCTATGGTGCTGAACAGGTAGGAGTGGAAAAAAAAACCTCCCAGTACTCACACCTGCCCTGTGTCATGTGCTGGGCAATGAAGTCACAAAAACAGCCACCTGTGAGAAGATGCCTGGTGAGCTCTGGGCCATGGTGCTTCTCACGAGGGTATCCCATCCTGTGGCAGAACTGACCACCCAGGACACCACACCAGTCAGAGTTCAAGTGGCACCAGTCCTCAGACACACAAAGGGGCCTCCAGAGTCACCCTCTCCAAACTTCACTGGGGAGCAATGCTGACATTTATTCCTCCAGAGTCCTCTATTGTAGCCCATTGCCCAGTGGGAGTGTCTTTGCAAGGGTATCAGAAGGTGTGAGTGTGTGTAAGAGGAAGTGGTCACAGCACCAAGCCAGGCAGAGTTCAAGGAGCATTTGGATGATACTCACAGGCACATGATCTGACTCTTGGGGGTGGTCCTGTGCATCCATCTAGATGGGTAAGAGTTGGACTCAATGATCCTTGTGGGTCCCTTTCAACCCAGGATATTCTGTGATTCTGTGACCTCAGGTGGGAGGTGGGAACTGCCCTCTTTACAACCTCCTGGTAGCATTGCCCATGCCAGGTTCCCTTGCCCGTGCCTGGAGTCCCACCACTGAGGGCCACCCTTGGTTTCAGCAGAGGTGGTGGCACTTGTGTGCAGAGATGGAGGTCCTGCTGTTAGCAATGCCCAGGGCAGGTCTAGGCAAGGGGCCAATCGTGCTTCAGTCTCCTGCTCACATCCATACTCCCACCTGTAAAAGACTGCTCCTGCCTTCGTTATCCTGAAGCTCCTTGTAAAGCCCTTACTCAGAGAAGTGCTGACAGCACTTTCAGTGCTGTTGCTTCCCTTTCTCCCCAGGAGAGAAGGTGGTGTGTGGGTGGACAGGACCAGCCTGCTGCCCAGCAGGAGCCAGGGCAGACGAGCTGTTACCTTGCACACCGTCAGCAAAGCCAGCGCCCAGCACGGAGCCCCGCACCCTGCCCTCGGCATCACACTGCGGGTCTGGCTGTCGATGAGGGGCAGCTCCACCTCCTGCAGGACAGGAGCCAGTGACCCCACCTTGTAAGGATGGCTCTGCTCCAATATGCACACATGAATATGCGCAGCAGCAAAGTGCAACCTTCCCTAATGTGCTCTGAGGTCCCATGCTGCAGGAAAATGCTGATCTGCACTTCTCTACAGGGGCTGCTCCTCTGACAAGCAGAGCAGACCCAATGAGCAAAGGGTACTTGAATATTCCATCTGGCAGGAGTCACCTTCTCTTGCATTTCTATTTCTCAAAGTGTCTCCTTTCCCTTAACCATTACTCTGTTCCTGCAACTGTGACCAGAAGACTCAGCCATTTGACTCTCCCTCAGACACCTTGCCCCAGCCACTAGCCACATGCAGTGTCCCAGCACAGGAGTCTTCATCCCTTAACCTCATCCCCTGCAGAGGAAAGGGTGCACAGACGAGTTCAGGAACCACATTCCTCCAGTAACCTGTCAGATTTACAGCCACAAACTCCCTTCAAGTCATACTGTTCTGATAATTCCCTTCCAAAAACATCATAGTCCCATGTGGGTATTTATAAAAGGAGAACACAAACTGAAGTTAGCCACAAACCGAGAGGAGGGGATCAGGAAGATTGAATGTTAACATAAGCACACTTGGGAATACTTGGGATACTTGGGAAGAGGACAAGGAGGTGGAACAGCCTAGCAGAGACAAGGCAACTGGATTGCCTCCATCCATCTCACATACTGGGGGAGCGATTCTGTGTTTGTGAGAAACTCTTTACATCTTTCTCCCCAAAGACCAGTCCTGATCAGATCAAAGGAGTTATGTAGGACACGTAAAACTCAAAAGATTCAGCTCAGTTCAATCTAGAGTCATATTGGTTTGCTTTTCCTTGATATGGAGAAAAATGGATCATAGTTCTCCTTGGCAGCTTTGATGGGGCACTGGCAGTGCCCAGCCTTCAGAGCAGCAAAGCAGGGACCCCTGAAGTTTCCTCAGATGTTGTCAAGCCCAGTTCACACCTAGAGATTTATCTGTTTAACCACAGAGTACAGGCACATAGGCAGCCCTCAAGCAGCCTGCCAGGATGTCTGAGCTCAGAAACAAACATTTCTTTGGTCTTATTTCCCTTTTTCCTTCCATCGTGGGCAAACCGTAAGGCTATCACTGACCAAGCCAGTGTTTTGAGACATGACAGTGACAGAAGGTTATTTTGTGCTGGCTGATCTGCCATCTGATGGTCACAGGCAGTCATGGCCAGTTGGCTGTAACCCATCATATCTCTATACAACACAAGGAATTGCCTTTGAAAAGATTAGGAAGTCAGAGACTTGCGCTGCTTCCTTAACTCCGAAACCCTCGAGTTGCCTCCAGAGGCTTTGCTTTTTGCCTGCAGAAGTACTCGAGTGAGCAGATCCTAATCCAGGTGTTAATGCTTCTTGGTGGGCAGGACCCTTGCAGCCCACTGCGGGGTGATAGCCCAGGGCTGTGCTAAGGGGAGCCCAGTGGCTTTCCAGCCACTCCAGGAGAAGGAAACAACACAGGTACATCTTGTACAAGGGCAACACAAAGGCACACAGGAATCTCACAAAGCAAGCACAGGCATAGCCAAAGAACAGACCCTCAGGCATGAGCTTCTGGGACAATTAATCATAGCCTAGGACAACAATTAACCCAATTGTGTTAACTGTGATAAGAAGTAAAGGCATAACTGAGGGGACGCAGGTTCTGCAGCCATGCAGTCTGGTCCTACCCTGGCATCTGGGGCTGGCCTTCAGAAACAGGACTTTTGGCCAGGCTGATTTCACATTAGCAGCAATGCAGAAGTTTCCTGACCTCCAGCTGGAAAAACTGGATTTTCTTTTAAATGAGTAAATAGGTTTCTTGTTTCATCTGCTATCCATCAAGCCACTGTTCGTATTTGGGAAGCACAGAGCTGCCAGAAGTGGTGCCAGCAGATTTCACTGCAGCCAGCTTGGTACAGCAAAAAGGATGATTTATTCTTCACCTTAGAACTCACAGAGCCCTCCATTTTTGATCTTGAAACATCAAGCTCAGCCCTTGTTACCTGCAGTCTGGGATCCTAAAGGGGATAGGAGAAGCCCTAAAAACAATGAGAATTGATTGCCAAGTCATTTTGTCCCCATAAATCCTCCTTTCTAATTTTGTTATCAGTGCATTTAAGGAGATGAGCAGAGGCCTAGATCTGAGAGCTTTATGATGATTTTAGGCAGCTACACATAGTTTGAATTAACACTAGACAAGCACATGCCCACTATGGATTTTCTGCATATTTTATAAGCAATATAATGTCACAGTTAAACTCAGAGCAATCAACTCCAGCAGAGTCAAAACAACATTGAGTATTTCTTTTAGCAATTAGGTAGTAGACCCACTATCAGAGCAGTTACCCAATAAACAGATGAGCAGTAGATCCCATCTTTATCAAACCAGACCTTTAGCAAAGGTGTTAATCCTCCTCTAGGATTGCAGCAAGTGCTCTAGGGTGCAGGGTGGGACACTTCTGCACTCAGTGAGATATGCACTGGGTTCAGTGATCTCTCTGATACCTGTCATTGTGAGAAATACTCACAGAAGTGGAAACTTGCCTGAGTCTCATCTATGTTTTCCATCCCCATCTCTCACAGCACAGCACGAAACACAGCAGTGAGCTCATCTTGAAATCTTTGCAATTAGGGCTGATGAAGGCTCTGCTGAATTATTGTCAGAACAGGACAAAACCCAGATCTGAAGCAGCTGCCCTTTCTCTCCAGACTACGGTCTCTTGAGAGTCCAAGAAACCCCAGTACTCAAACAAGAGCTTTGAAACCTATTTATCACTGATTTCTAGTAGATTTATAGGGTTTTGTTTTGTTGTTTTTAATACCTCTTCTCTATGGGGTTGCACCCCTTCAGGAAAGTCCAACCAGTGTGAATTACCACCATGCTATTTCACCCACGCAGCCTTTGGAGATGGCAAGCCTGGCTGGCAGGCACACACTTTATTACGGCTGCCTGCCCCTGAAGTGCGGCCCCAAGCATTTTGAATCAAGATATCAAAGGTTCAACATGAGCCTTTGCTTCAATGTTTTCTAGTAAATCAAGATTTATTTTATTTTCCCACTCAGGGAAACCCTTACTTTCATTTTATAATCACTTCCAGCCATAAGTAACAGAACCACTAACGGCACGGCTCAGCTTTAATCCCCAAGGGGCTGTTTACTGGAAATGGAAATTTCCCATGCTTCCCAGCAAAGTCTGACACCAGGATTGCCTGGCAATGCAAATGCTGCAGTAATGGGAACAGAGGAACAGCACTGGCAGCATAACAGTGGAGAGTAAAAGCACGGACTGGTTTTGCACGGAATAGAGAAACAAAGAGGTTCCTCATTATCAAGGTTAATCTTGCACATTGAAATTTTTATACCATAGCAACTTTCTCATTATTCAACATTAGTCCTCAAAAATGATGCTCGAATAGAGCAAGAAACAGATGTGAAGATGACTGGTCTGCAATTACATTATAATGGATTATAAAAGGGCTGGCAAAGGGGCCACTTTTATCATTGTCCCTGCCCATTAAGAGGTCTTTAGCGTGGCCTGTGAAGCTGGTCTTGCATTAAAAGTACAGAAGACAATGTGACTGCTGAGTGATGGGATAGTTGCCAGGGCTGCTTTTACCAGGAAGCTGCAGTACTTCTCCTCCTGCCTCAGAAATGCTTCTCTGGATACTTGCTTAGGTGAGCACAGCTCTTTAGAAGACAAAACCATATAGAATTAGTAATTCAGACATTTAGAAGAACTGTGGTAGCAAGGGGATTTCCACACCCTGATCTCTGCCCCAGGGATGCCCACACAGCACAGAAATTCCCAGGCTTTGGAGAGAAACATGCAGAGACCCAGCAGGAGCAAACTGGGGGTGCCCATGGCTTCAGCCCCAAGGCTCTGGAGCGACACATCCCACAGACCTGGCTGTGGCAGAGCACTGACCTCACTCAGCCCCACAGGGGCCATTTCCCTCCTTAACTGAGACCACACACCTGGGCCTGGGAACAACCTGTGTCCTAAGGGGAATTTTTCCTGCAAGAGATTTAAGAGTGAGTAAGGAGGTGAGACTGACTTACTGCTCCAGGTGGCCATGCAACAGGCAGTAGTAATAGCCACATCTTCTTGGACCAGACTGGAAAGCTGGGAAAGAAGTACTTTTAGTCCAACTTCTGTTCTTGAGTGACCAGCATTCAATGACTTGAGGATTAAAGAGAGGTGGCTTCAGCCTCTCCTCCCCACTCCCATAGAAGAGGGCAGTTCTCTGCAACAGGGACCTGCCAGGGCTGCCCTCCAGGCTCCAGCTGTCTCCCAACAACTAATCTCAGCTGCAGAGTATCCTCTGGGCTCCTCAGGTCAATGGGACAAACTCTGCACTTCAGACCCACATAGAAGACCTGAAAAAAAGAGTGTTTTTCAGTGAGACAAGACCCCACATGCTCAAATGCATCAATTCAGGCTCTTCTGGCAGGTAGTGAATTAATGGGACAAATCCCAGGTGCCATAGCTTTCCTGATTCCAGTCAGAGCTCCAAGCTGAAGGCAATTATATGGAGATAAATGAAAACACACAGCAATTGCATTTTTTTATAAGAATCTGATGTGTGCAAAGCTGAGGTCTCCTGTGATGTACTTTCATGGGGTGTGTGCACAGCCATAAAAAAGCAAATTTAGATTTCATCCAGTAGCCTAATCATTCTTAATGAACTGCAACTGAGACTAGCAAAATTAGGTAACAAATGCAACATGTTGTAATGATACCACCAGACTACTCAAAGGTTATTTTTAAAAGCTTCCATACCTTAAGTGGCCTGGGGCACTTTAACCTGTGCCAGTCATAATGAAAGATGTTGTCTCTGAACTGAGCTGGCCTTGCACTCAGTCTTGACTTTGGTCTGGAATACACCAGAGACACAGCTTTCTCACAGAGCTTCTGGCACAAATTGTGCCTTAGGAATGTGAGCAGTGAGCACAGGGACATTTTGACTTAGGGCTGGCTGGGTCTTGATAAGTCTTCATTGAACTGTACAGTATGAGAAAAATCCATGGTGATTCCACCTCTGTTTTCTGTGGAAAGGCCCACCAGTCCTCAGCCAGGGAGTGATGTGCACAGTGACCAGCCTGCCAGGCACCATGCTAGGTGGAGGAGGAAGGGGGGGCTGCTCCCCTGGACCAGCTCCAGAACACAACCATCACACCAAAGATCCCACGGGAGGAGGGATCTCAAATGCCTGGGATGCAAAGAAAAGGAACTGATTGCAACTTCTCACCCCAGCTGGAGGTCTGCTTCTCCAGGCTGGGTAGTTGTGGGAGAGGGGTAGAATGAGGCCTCTGTCCCTCTTGTTGAGAAGAGGACAGCAGCTCTTCCTCCATTCCTTTCAACTGGCCTGTGTCTGCACCAGCTAAAAATCACTCCTGTCCAATGTGTTTCTCATGCCAACAGGAGGGGTCCCCTGCCTCTCCCAAGCCAAGGCTGGGATAAGAGCTTAGTTCCCAGCCATGCAAACATAAGCAATATAATGCTCATGATTTAGGAGGTACCTGAACTGTGCTTGCCCTGGTGAGAGCCTGAAACAATTCACTGGAGTCACCCTGAGACTGGATCCAAAATTATACCACTTCAGCCCTCTCTAACTTTGGGAGTGTCCTCTGTGTAAGCTTGAAGGTGATGCTACCTAATTAAAGTTTCTAACACCACCTTATGAGAGTGCCAGTGCACTGAGGAGCCCATGTCTTTCTCCTCTACCCAGACCAACCACCCCAAGACCTCAGCAGTAATAAGTGGGACTCACCCACAAGGTTGTGGGGATCCTTGCAGAACTCCTGCAGCACTCCAGGCTGCAGAGGGACTCAGCTACTTGCTGCCCTGTTCAGCCCAGCCTCTCTCTCTCTCTCTCTCTCTCTCTCTCTCTCTCTCTCCTTCTCCTCCTTTTTTAATAGAATTTTATCATATTCCCAGTTCACTCTGTGGCCTCAAAGCACTTGACTACTGCAGAGCTCAGGCACAATTTTCTAAGCCACTGACCTGGACCAAGCTCTCCCTAGCCCTTGGTGCTGACTAGCCTTTCCAACAAGAGACTGTGGTGATTATTGCTATAGCAGCGAGCCCACTAGTGAAGTGGAAAATAAATAGACTTTATCAGGGTGGTAAATGATGGAGAAAACACCATTCCCTTAGGTGGTGAGAGAAATAACATTAGCAACAGCAGAAGGACCAGCATCATATTGAAGCAGCGTGGGAGGGATGGCAATGAGCTGATTGTCCCTTCTCTTGCCCCAGCAGATCAGATGTTTTTAGCACTGTCTTCATTACCAGGAGCAAGTTACTCTCCAGATCACCATTCTTCTGCCCAGCTTGACCCACTTCACAGCCTGCCTTGTGCTTATTTCCCTCTCTTACCTAAAAACATCCCTGGGGCAGAAATTTTCACATGGATGTGGGAGCAGGCCAGACAGGGATTTATAAACACATTAGCCACTGCAGGAGGATATAGAAGGATTTGAGATCATGCTGCCATCCATTGCTCTCCCAGGCACTGCTCTGACCTGGTGCCCCAGGGAGACCAGTTAGCAAATGCAGTGGGACCAAGCTATTTCTCTTTCTTGCACAGCCAAAGGACCACGTGGCAGCAGAGCAGCCTGCACAGGGAATGGTTCACTTGCCACAGCAGCCAAGGAGAGGGCTGTGGTGAGCAGCACCTGGATGGAGAGGGTATGAAAGGCTTCCAGTCCCAGCAGAGCTACAGAAAGGGCAGCAAAAAATCACCTGTCAGTGGCAAGCACAACCAAGCATGACTGTGAAAACTGAGTGGTTACAATCACTTGTTTCATACCTGAAAGGTCCAGGCGATACCAGTGCTCGCTGCTGTAGCCCCCACACTGGGCACATCTCCCCACAGACCATGCACAGGACTTACCATGTAGAGCAAGAAGGGACACAAGCAGTGAGAAGAGCTCTGCTCTCACCACAGCCCAGGAAAAGTACCCAGTGCTGGAGCCCAGGCTGTGCCCTGCTTCACACAGGAGAAACAACTCCGGTCCCGGCCAACCAGTCCCTTTAGTAGATGAGGAGTCGGTCAATTTTAGCAGGTAAGGCTGCAGGGCTGCAACCCAGTTGGGTTTGGAGGCTCTGCAGCATTGTCTCTGGGGATTTCCAGCTCCCTGGGCTCACCTGTTTGCAGTTTGCTGCCTGCTTCCATGGACAGCAGCAGGGTCTAACATCCCCCCTCACCATTGCCACCAGACACGAGCTGCCTCAGCCCTTGCAGAGGAGGGTTGGCACAGGCAAATGCAAGCCCTGCCAAATTCCTCGCTCTGTGGTCTCTGCTCACCCGGGCTGGCCAGGAAGAGCACGCTGATAAGGCATGGTGATGTGTTTGCCTCCTCCTTCCCAGAGGACACCAACAGAGCCGAACGCCTCCAGCAGCTTTTCATCTGTGAAGCAATACATGGGGTTTACAGAGAGGCTCAAGGAGCTGCCATAAGGATGAAAATTATTTGACCATTTTTTTTTTTACTGGGATAGCTGCTATCCACATGCTGCCAGGGCCACTAAAGCATGGAGCTGCCTTTCATTTTTGGGCTGGGAACCACAGAGACCTCCAGATGCTGCGGTGCCTCCAGGCACACAGGTCCCAGCCATCACCCACAGAAGAGGAGAACATCTCCACCCCACCTCGGGAGTCCCTGAGCAGCCAGGGGGCTTCACAAGCACTGCCCAGCCTGTCCCCACTCGCCGGGCCACTGCCCATCCGTGATGTATTCCTTGTTCTGCCGAAGGGCAAGAACTGCACACTGATCCACAGCACAGGATCCAGGCTACGACCTGGATGCCCATCTCATTTCTTCATCAGTACAAACGAGGATCTGAGTAGGTGGGCACTGGATAGAAACTCCATTAAGAAACTCTGCACTGTTGGGATCTGAGAAAACTTCAGGGTGTATGGCCTGATTTCTGAGTGAGCCCACAATTCCCCTCCGTGCTGCGTCCTGCACACACCAGGATGGCAGGAAACACTGTGGCACATGTTCAGGGCTTTTGATTCTCTTTCAGATCCATTTTCAGTAGAGGTGTTTATCACCATCCCCTGAGTGAGCTCTAACATTAGAAGGATGCAGGAGCATCTAGGAACGTCTGCCAGGAAGAAGGGATTTACAACAAAATTACTTTCTTTTTAATTTCTAATTTTTTTTCTCTTTACACTCTGTAGACTTGTTTGACACATTCCTGACAGAGGCATAAAGCCTGACATGAATAACTTATGTCAGTATAACGTGTCCAACCATCAAGACCATGTAAGCACCAGCCCACATCTTTTCTCATCCTCAAGCTCCAAAAAAATGCCTGCTCCAATATTTTTATATGCCCACACTCAAACACATGTGCTGCACAGTTGCTCCTATATGACCAATAACTGGGACTCCAGTAAAATGTAAGTGGAGTAAGAAACTCTGGCCCTTCCACCTCCAGAAGAACTTGTTCATGGCTGGTCCTAAAGAAAGAGAACAAAACCAGGCACAGCACTTACTTTTCTTACTTTTTATATAAAATAGACATTTACATACATTTTCTTTTGCAAAGACTTTGAGCATAACTCCTTTATGTGAAATCTAGCCATAAATCCCACAGTGAAAAAAGCAAAGACTTTGCAAATTCCTGTATCACTGACATACATCCAGCTGCTGCTATGTGTGAATTTATTTTTAAAAGATTTCTGTTCCATGGGCTGCTTTCTTATTTTTGTTTTTCTTTTTTTAAAAGATATGCACAACTAATTAAAAAAAATTAGATACAGAAATAAGAACCATATGAACAGCAGGCAATGCAAACAACTCCTGCATGAGAGGAACACACAGAGTGACATCCACTTCAGGCAGAGATTTCTACAGTAATACAGTTGTAGAAGCCATAACTTTTACAGAGGATACCACTGGGGGTATTTTCCAGAAGAAAAAATTTTCAGCAAGTCAGTACAAGCATGGCAATGAACTTTTGCACAAAGTTATCAAGGTTACCTGAAGCAAGTTTGCCACATTAAAACACTAGTGAATGCCAAGCGCTTTTTTTTTCCTTTTCCTTTTTGTTTTTCTTTGTTTTTCCTTTTTTTCCTTTTTTTTTTTTTTTTTTTGCTGCTGGGTTTAAATATACATGAAAGCAAAATGGTGCATTTTGAAATTGCTGCAAGAGACTGAAAGTTGGGGGAAAAAACCCTCTAAGGGCTAATTTTGTCCAAAGATTGTGCATAATTGCATATATGAAAGATAGAAATTGAGCACTTGGTCAACTTAATCACAAAAAGATTGAGGAGATTTAAGCATATACCAGCTGCTTCACTGAATTGGAGGACAAGCGGGGCAAAAGACCAAACAATGATATTCTGAATTGCCTAATTATTAAATTAGAATGACAACTGTCTTCTTTCACCGAATATTATACACCATATCTGGCTTGGTTTCTATAACTGTTGTGAAGCTTTCAAAGTTTTTAGATAATTTTAGGAGTATCCAGCCTCCCCTGCAAGTTAGGCTCTTTATTTTTAATATCTTTTTTTTTTTTTTTAACTTCTTTCCACCCACATGCATGCACAGCCCCCTGTCCTCATCAAGATCTCTGGAATGAAGGCCATTTGCACTGCTGCATTCACTTACTGTTTGGCCAAAACAAATTGACTACATATTTGTTGGAATATCTACTCCAAGGATTCTACAAGAGAGAGAAAATACACCCCCCCCCCAACTGCATAATTTATCCTGGGGGACAGAAAAGGGATGGAAGCAAAGAATGTTGGAATTTAAATGAGAAATAAAGTAAACCAAAAATCCATCAGCTGCAAATATTATTCATGGAGAAAGGAAAATGCAACACAATTATTATGTTTCTCATTTAGGATTAGAATGCACAGTGAGTACATGAGAGTCTTGTCTAACCAGCTTTCCATTAATTCTCTGCTTTAATATTGGTGAGCACTGAGGTTTAGCCAATGCAACTTGCAGAGAGCATGAACTCTCCCCCACCAGGCAGAGCTTCATCCATTTATTAATTTGCAATCTCTGCTAACCATGCTGAGCACTGGACTTGGCAGAAAACAATGTATTTATAACTCATTATTTTAGAGGCTGTGCAATGCTAGAGGAAGAGGGCATTTCCTATGATTAATTAAGATAACATACAGTTTATCACAAGGTAAGTCGCTCCATTTATCTTTCACAATAGCATTCCATTTTGGTGGAGGTAACCCATTTCATATCATACTCCATTATTCTTCTTTGCCTGCAATAAACCTTTCACATGATTAATGCCCTGAACAAACACAGCGTTTCAGCACAGGCACCAACAAGATAGGGAATCAGCTCAGAACTTCACAAGGGTTTAACTGCTTTGGTAGCTCACGGTCTGTGCCATTCTCCAAACATTCTGCCAGTTTGCAGACTGTCATCCTGCATGGATGGGGTATAAAGTGCTGGTTCAGGAAAGTGGGGTTCATTAGTGAGCCCTCCTCTCTCCATAACTACCATAAACCCAGCTCCAAAACATGGAGAGTCGCCCTTTCGGAATATAAAAACTGGTTCACCTGGGATTAAAGCCCATGGATCTCTCTGATTCAGGCAAGTGGATGAACACATGCCACACTTCCCAACCAAACCACCTTCCTTACTGGGAGGATGGTCTCATTTTTCTCCATTATTCTGCAAGTAAGACAGTGTTGCACAAATGGTAATCCTTCTCCAGGATCTGGGAGAGGGGCACCCAAAGCAATACTCTACTTCTATACATGCACCAGTTTTAAGAGGTCAAGATGGCTTTGATTGGGTTCTAGGACAAGAAGGAGACAATAATTTCTACCAGGTCTCTCAGGAAAGACAAACTAATATTTAAGCTGAAGTTAAAAACATAAAACTAAGTCTTCCCTCTCACAAAGCATTGCTATAAAAAATACAACTTCTTCTGTATTTGAAAAAATACGTTTCATTGGCCACAATTTTAAAGCCACACACTGCAGTGAGGCTTGTAGAATATACAGTATTTATTTAATATATCTTTATGAGGCAAAGTTTATAGTTGATACACATTTTTAGAGGAGGCCTATCTCCCCCCATCCCTACCCACCATGCTTTGGCTGGCTCTTGGAGCACTCTGTAGATGCTCCACAGGGGGCTTTGCACGGTACTGCTGTTGGGGGCTGCACCAAACGCTGCTCTGCCAGCCCCCAAACTCACTGCCATGCCGTGGAACCGCAGGCAGCCAGCCAGCCTGGGATCCTGGGGCTTTGGGGAAGCTGCTCCAAAGGCAGGCTCACCTTGGGGAGTGGCAGAGAGCTTTATGGTCCAGGTCCTCTGAATATCCCAGTAATGAACTGACTACAGCCTCACGATGAATGACCCCATCTCCTCCTGAATATCCTGGTAACCCAGGGCTGTGCAAAGCTACTTTGTGCACCGTATCCAGCAGAGCACCTGCACTGGGGAGCTGCAGAAACATCAGTTCAGCAAGTCCACGGCCACAAAAGTCGTATGAAAAGACAAGGGAAGGTTGCTGACCCAGCTCCAGGAGCTCAAACCTGCCCTTGGCCACGCAAAGCAAAGTAGGCTGCTTGGGCTGGGGCAGAAGAGAAAATTCACCAGCAAAAGACTTGCTTATTCTGGTCCCAGCTGATCTCCTGGGAAGCTGGTTTGGTGGGAGAGAGCCCAGAAACATGTTACTGCCTCTTCCCCCCTAGTGGTCTCTCTCTCCCCCCTCTGCCCAGCTGTAGGCACTGGCTGGTCTCCTTGGCTCAAGCCCTGGCAGGGCAGACAACTGCATCAGTCTGGACTCCTTCTGAGCTCCAAACACAGCTGGAGTCACATCAATAACTTGTCAGTAATTTGACCACCAGTAGCAGTTAGACACCAAGCTTTTACAGTGAAACCCATGAAGCCACCAGCACATCTGTCCCATCTACACTGAGTGAATCAGGAGCTTGCTGAGGTGCCATGGCCAGCATCCAGTTAAATCCAGGCACCACATGGGTACCTGCCACACAGGCCTTTCCTGACAGATGTGTTTTAAGGCATGGCATACCTAATCTAAACTGTCCTTTACTAATAATGCCAAATCCTGGGCTGCTTTTCTGCAGGGACTGGCCACAATCGAGCTCAAATAAAACAACTTTTAGAGCAGTTTCCTGCTGCAAGAGGAATAAACTGATGACCTACCCCGATGCCCAAACCCAAAGGTGCCAAGCACAATCCCACTAACACTTTCTGTGAATTGGTACAAACCCTGGTGGAAGCAGCAGAAGTGCTGTTATTGCAGGGACAGTGTGGTCCAATGTGCTCTGCAGCCATTTACCTTGGAATCATTAGATGGAATTACTCGAGCACGCCTCGGTGGTACTGAATTTTAATAACTTCAGACTGTACAAGTCAAAATGCCCAGTCATGAGGCCAGCTGTGAAGGATATTGCCCAATTCATATAAAACACAGAAAATATATTAATTATTTGATTATTATAAGTTAAATAAATAAAGCTCAATAATATAAGCCCCAGTTTTGAAGAGAATTTGTTTTCCCACTTCAGTATTTAAAAATATAGATTTATGATTGATTTGCTATAGGTCATTTTCTGTATCTCTCGAGGGAGGGGGTGAGAACACTTTGACAAAGTGTTTTGTCAGTGTTATCACCATGATAAATGGGTTTTGTCCCTGCACACCCATAGAAGAGCCTCCTTAGTACCTTTCCAGGCTAGGAAATCTTCCCTAATCTCTCTGT